CCGTTATTGTCTCGTTCTTTCAGACGATATCATGGCACGGTGCTCTATACGCTGACGACGAAATACGACGAAATACGACGACGATGACCGATACTCGTATTTCTGGAATGCTTAAGACTGTAAACACAGAGACAAGGACCCGACTAATATACGTTTATGAACATGATGCAGCAATACTGTGTAAATACCTGAGTATATTTATATGTCTTTTCTCCTAAATGAAGGAAGCAATCGTGAGACAATGCGCGGTATATATACATTTAGTGCAACTCATACATCGTACATAGTCGTCTAGATAACAGATAGCACAAACGACGGCCTTAACTGGCAGCAATGAGGTATAATTAACTACGTTAGAAACTCATTGAACGAACAGTGCAGGGACGGGATCCGCTGCATCTCGCCGGTGCAAGCGAAAAAGGAATAAACGAGCCAGCGAATTATCGACTAAACTTGATATAGTTGCCAATCCTCCCCCGAGAGTGGCACTATCCTTCCCTCTCCCCCCGACTATTTCGTCTGCAATCAACTCGTTTCGCAAGTTCAGGTCAATTTTACGGCAAATTGATCACTCAGGCCGAGCCCTCCGCGCATTCAAAAACAGGTGTTCCGTGTAACAGCGGCGCTGTTCAAGAGCTCCCTTTGTTTCCCAGCAGTTTCTTTACTCGCGAAACTTTCGAGCCGCGAATCGCACAGTCGCAGCCGATAGTCTTCGCACCGCAGTGGAAGAGAAACTTCTGAAAGCCACGCGCTGCCGCATGTTTTTTTCGGTTTCTTCGACTCTCGTTCCCTCGTTTTTTTTTTTTTTTTTTTTTTTTTCACTTTTGTTCCAATTCAGTTTTCTTTCAGACGATTCGTCGCTCTCTTTCTTCGTCTATCTCGCTGGTCCTCGCCATCCTTTCCTCCCCTTTCTATCTACTCTACTCTCCTCGCGTTTTGCGTTTCAGTTCTCTTCGCGCCGGATTCATAACGCGCCTTTAAGACGGCGAATCCTGCAATTCCTGCTGCACTTTGCCGATATTCTCCGCCTCGCACACCGTGTCCGGAAGTTTCGTTCCCAACGTTTCCGGGAAGAAGAGAGACAGCAACCCCGCGGCCAGCGCCATGCATCCGAACAGAATCAACGGCAGTTCCGGCATGATTTGTGCCTGCGTGACAGAAAGGCACGTGAAAAACATGAGAAAACGACATCTATATGTTTCTCGTATTAGACGAAGAGATTGTCTTTGGTGTGCGAAAATAATAAAATTATACGAAAGGTATATAAATATATATACAAATCGAAAATCAGCTTTCAGTTGGTGAAAAGATGACTCTCTTGCGACAAGACAAATTTTTTATATTATAGGTTCGCGAGAAATCTACTTTTCCCCTCAGACGGAAGGGATTTATTAGGCAAACGATGGAAATATTAATTTCATTGTATCAATTTACAAAAGTTCGAAACAAAGGAAACATCC